ATATATGTATTAACTCATTTAGCCATCAAAACAACCCCATGGAATAAGTGCTATTATCCCCATTTTAAAAATCTGGGAATAATTGCAAAGGGAATATTATAACTGGTCCAGTTCCAAGGCCAACACGCCCTAGAACCAGAATTCAAAATATGTTATCTGGCTCCAGAGCCGATTCACATAACCACTATACTGTAGTGTCTCCCACAAAACATATAACTAGCATTGAATCTATCCTCTCATAACACAAAGCCCAAGCTTGAACTCTGACACACTCCCTCCTCTTAGAAAATATGGAGAGGAGTAGAGCATAGAAGAGGTCATGCAGTCAAAATTGCCTTCTTTCCTCTAATGCTGTTTATAGTAAATGTAATAATGTGATAAGTCTTTCCTATCTTACCCCATCTGACAGCATATGCCTTTAGTTGTGCCATCGTAGGGAGAAACAACCTGCTGAGTCATCTATATCACTTTGTGCATGATGAAGTTTGGAAGAATAATCTGACTACGAACCAGGTTCATAGCTGCCTATCTTAAGAGACTGGAGAAGGTCACAGCTTGAAAATGTTATGACTGTGTTATAATTAGAGATTAAGGCAAAACTTATTCAATTTAATAATTCAAGAATATTTTGTCTTGTGTCTGGTATAAGTAACCATATCATTATCGTATGTTATTTTAAAACAAGCTTAATTAACTATATTTCTTTTTTTAGTGTCTTATATTTATACTTGCTGATAAAGATAATGCAAAGGCTATACATACAAATGTAAGAAAGATGTCACAAAATACTTTTAAGGGCATCTTTGTTTCATGTCTATATACAACATATTGGAAATGACTATATGATCATCTTTCTGAACACAAATGCCTCTATACCTGAAAATATGCTCCAATTTGTAAGGCCTTATTTGTAACATCTATTTTTCTGTAGATTATATAAAAGCCACTTTCAGAATTTATTCAAACAGACTTGTTACTGATCCACCCGTCTTACTATTGCCCCACCTTTTTCTCAACTTTCAGTATATTTTTCCTGAGACTATTTTAGTTTTGGACATAAAATCTATCACTTTTAACATAATTTAAATCACATTTAGACACAAGTTTATATTCACGATACCACAGGGAAATAACAAATATTCTGCCTTAATTTTTAATTGGTAATCTATCATGAGTATTGGCTAGACATCTCATTTTTTCATTCATAGATTAGAAAGGTGGACAGACCCAGTTGATGAAATCATCCGATGGTTCAAGGAAACATATATATATATATATAAATGTAAATGAAAATAGATATATATAATAGTATAACATAACTTGTTTGAAATTATGTATATACAGATATATAGGTCAAAATAGGTCAGCATAGGTATCTATGTAAATTCAAACAAGTTATGTGGCATTACTACAATTCAATTCCAGTCCCTCAGTTTCTCCACTTCAAGTAATTTAATTTCAGAATATCTGCTACTTGTTGGATATTTCAATTTCTTTTCTCTCTTTTAGTTCTCTTTACTTATCAACAAGCCAATCCCAAGTTTTATAAACCATTTACTGCTTACCTAGAACAGTGTGATGGTGGGAAAGAAGTAGGAAACATGTAACCTTCCGAGGAGCTTACAATCTGATTGGGAAAACAAAATGTAAATACATTAAGTAATTAGAGAACAGCATGAGACAGTGCCCTGAAGCCATTCATGTAAGACCCCATCCAATGGAGGGGGATCTAGAGTAGGGAGACAGGCAGTCTAATACAAAGCAAAAACCTGTAATAAACATAGCAATATCTTGGTAAGGACTGACAACATATTCATACTCACATAGAAAGTGGCCCTCAGAGGTAACCGAAGTACCTAACTAGGATCCCAACACTCAGAAAACTATGCAGATACCTGACATTTTTATCACATGCCATTGCAGCTACTGTTTCAACAATAAATGCACTATTTATGATGTTATATATTAGCAGATATTGTATTTTCCTGAACATGGAAGTAACCAGATGCAAAGGAAGTTCAAAATTGCAAGTTCATATACAAAACTGTACATCTTTCAATATATCTTGCCTTTGGTCTGGAAGTTGTTTGTACAGCTTTAAAGAGCTTAGAGAAATTTGAAAGCCTAGCATAAAAGAAATCTGTTTCAGGTATAATATTCCAGATGAATGTAACCTAGTTCATTTATCAATACATGATAGTAATCTGACCACTCCCTATAGACATATTATTATATTAAAATATTACATATTTATATTAACAAAAAGTGGAGATTTATGTGGATGTTTTTACCAAACACAAAAAAACTTGTGAGTACATATTACTGCATCTCATAAGTATTAATTAAAAGAAATGTCTAAAAAATAGGTCCCAGAGATGATATATTTGCCTTTAAATATCATACAGACAGTGCTGTACATAATTTGCATTCAGTATTTCTTTATTTATCAATTCCGGTTATCTTTAAGAAGCACAGAAGACAATGCAGATAAAATTCCAACAACAGAGGTAGTTTACACGGTTTTTAAGAGAAGGAAACAAAACAAAATGTTTGTTGAATAATATAGTCTTAAGTTATGAAAGTATTAGAGTCACACAGGGATTCACACCTTGACTTTATCACTTACTAGCTGTGTGACAATGGGGGAGTCACTACCTTTTCTGAGCCTCAATTTTCCTCATTTTAAAACAGGGCAATAAAAATAGAACCTACCTTATAAAGTTATTGCCATGCCAAATGTACATAAAGCATTTAGCATTTAAAGCATTTAGCACATCCCTCCAGCCCATGAATAGGTTTTCAATAAATAATAGCTGTTATAAGCATTATTTACTTTTACAAACGTGGTATTAATGCACAACGTAATACTACTCAGCCATAAAAGAAAGAAATCATGTCATTTGCAGCAACATGGATGAAACTGTAAATCATTATCTTAAGTGAAATAAGCTAGGCACAAAAAGACAAATATTCCATGTTTTCACATATATATGGGAGCTAAAATTTGTGATCATATGTAGGTAGAGAGTGGAAAGTTAACGGAAACTGGGAAGGGTAGTGGGGAGAGGGGAGGATGAAGAGAAAGAGTTAAAGGGTACAGGCATACAATAAGACTGAAGGAATAAACTCAATGTTGGATAGCAGGAAAGGGTGACTATACTTAACAGAAATGTATTGTACTCTGGTGATGGACACCCTAAATACTCTGACCTGATCACTAGCCATATATACATGTAACAAAATTCCTCATGTACTCCATATATTTGCACAAATTAAGAAAAAGTTTATGTGGAGAAAAAACCATATATACATACATATATATATAAAATACATAAACTATATATATACACACACATACATATTTCAGTCAATTTGTTATACATATGTTATATATGACCAACCAGTCTGATAATAGCCTAAGATTTTTAGCCTATTTTAATTACCCCAACAGTAAAAATATATGCCATGAAGTCTTATATGATACCAAGTTTTCTAAGTTAGGATCATTTAGAAAAGAAAAGAAAGCCTTAAGATAGGTTAGGTTAAAGAAATTTGTGATCAGTTTTTCTCTAGTAATGTCACTTCCAATTATGAAATTGTCAACATTTTTTTTTCATTGTCAGGTTACTCCCAATCCATCACCCTCACCCTCCTCTTGATACAGCACTAAACGTGGGTAGGAATATTGAGGCAGAGAAGGGGAGGATGGGCACTAAGATGCAACAGTTGGACTGGAGTGACGTGAACGACCCATGGTGCACTCGGAGTTTCTGGGCTTGAGATAAGGTTGTATAAAGAGCAGGGAGAATGGGGAGGAAACAGCAACAAAGTAGTTTTCATGATCTCCGATCAAGGAAAGTTAACTCACCACCTGACTTCTGCAAACCCGCTTAACAAAATTTTTTTTTTTTTTTTTTTTTTTTTTTTTGTGGAGGACGATTGGGGCCTGTGCAGACTTGGAATCAGCCACCAGCATTTCAGTACAATGTATTACTGTGGAATTGGGGGCTTGCTTTAGGATTGACTGCCCTAAAGCTTCAGAGCAGGTGTGGATCATGTAACTTCTCAGACTGCCAAACTCATGCTTTGAATATCCACACTCTCACCATTTTGTCATTTAGTCACTTTGCAAAGTTCTTTATCATCTGTGCCTATGGAAATCCTGTGCATTCCTCTGAGTACTGTACCAATGCCCAAGGGGGCCCCCCACACCAAGACAGGGCTCTGCCAAGATTCCTATGACTGAAAGTTTGGGCTGACCTTTCCCTCCCAGGAGAGAGGGAGGTACCCCTCTCCTGGACCCCTTCCCCTTCACTCCACCCGCCCTGGGCTAAGTTCAAAAGAACTCAATGCCTTAGAGAAATACCCTTCTCTTCACCCCTCACCCTCATGTCTCCACCCCTATCATAACTGCAGCCCTGGATGCTCCTGAGGCTGCTTTCTGACTAAAGGTCCCTGATACCGCCTGGGTGGAAAGCAGGACCTAGGGAATTGCATTTGAAACGCATCCCTCAGGGATTCAGGTGCTCAAAGACTTCAGTTTGAGAAGGGGGAAAAAATTATTTGGTTGAAACTGTTTAAGACATCAATCCAGGAGCTGAAACTGGAGAAGCTGCAAGTCTGACATGAGGGTAAAGGTCTCCCTGACGCTGCTGAACTGCCCCCCACCCCATCCCTTGCCAAATTCAATGTCTAACCTAAGCGAAGGGTGTCCCAAGATTACACCAAGTGCACACTGGTTTCTCCAAGCAGATCGTGGCTCGGCCTCCTTCTAGCCCCGTGCTTGATTATATCTTAGGTTTCAGATTTTATTGAAGTAGGGATTTTAAGAAGGGTAGTTAGCCGTTGTCCAGAGGGTAGCAAAACAACGCGTGTCTGATACTGAGGACCTAGGGTGCCGGCCCTCCGCGACTCTGCCCCTGCAGCTCCGCTACCCCCTTCTCCCCTCCGCCCCCTTCCAGCCTCCACCCCGCGCGGCCTCCGCTACCCGGCAGGCACCCCACGCCCGCCCAGCAGCTCCTCCCACTGCCTCCGCCCTTCACACTCGGGCCCCAGCGTCGTCCTCCCCCCACACTGACTTCGCTCCCGCAGCCATCCAGACAGACACTCTTCCCGCTCTCGCCTAGGTCTGCACCGCCACTGCCGCCCTTGCCGCCCCGCTTAGCCCGGGCTCTGCTACGTCAGGCCGCGCATCTCTGGCCAGGTCCGCCGCTGCCGCCGCCGCCGCCGCCGAGCCTCAGACTGAAGTCTGGGAGCCCGCGATCGCACCAGCTTCTTGGTCTTAGAGATCCTGAGCTCTCGGCTGACGCGGAAGCGCAGCCATCCCCACCACCGCCGCCACGGCCAACACGGGTGCCACGCGCCGCCACCGCCGCCGGGCCGCCGCCGCAGCCGCTGCCGCTGCCGCCGCCGCCGCCGCGGATCGCCCGCCGCCCACCATGGCCCAGCAGCAAACAGGTAGCAGGAAACGGAAAGCGCCCGCGGTCGAGGCGGGCGCCGGGAGCTCGTCCTCGCAGGGCTTAGCGGCGGCGGACGGAGAGGGGCCTCTGCTACCCAAGAAGCAGAAGCGGCCGGCGACGCGTCGCAGGCTGGTGCACTATCTGAAGGGCCGGGAGGTAGGAGCGAGGGGCCCCGCCGGGCTCCAGGGCTTTGAGGGCGAGCTTCGGGGCTACGCGGTACAGAGGCTGCCCGAGCTGCTGACAGAGCGCCAGCTGGACCTGGGCACCCTCAACAAGGTGTTCGCGTCACAGTGGCTGAACGCCAGGCAGGTGGTGTGCGGCACCAAGTGTAACACGCTCTTCGTGGTGGACGTGCAGTCAGGCCACATCACGCGCATCCCCCTCATGCGGGACAAGGAGGCCGGGCTGGCCCAGGCCCAACAGGGCTGCGGCATCCATGCCATCGAGCTGAATCCCTCCAAGACGCTTCTGGCCACCGGCGGCGAAAACCCCAACAGCCTGGCCATCTACCAGCTGCCCACCCTGGACCCCCTGTGCCTGGGCGACCGCCATGGCCACAAGGACTGGATCTTCGCCGTTGCCTGGCTGAGTGACACCGTAGCCGTGAGCGGCTCCCGCGACGGCACTGTGGCGCTGTGGCGGATGGACCCGGACATGTTCAATGGCAGCATTGCCTGGCACAGCGAGGTGGGTCTCCCCGTATATGCCCACATCCGTCCGAAGGATGTGGAGGCCATACCCAGGGCCAGCACCAACCCCAGTAACCGCAAGGTGCGGGCCCTGGCCTTCAGCGGCAAGAACCAGGAGCTGGGAGCGGTGTCCTTAGACGGCTACTTCCACCTGTGGAAAGCCAGGAGCACACTATCCAGGCTCCTGTCCATCAGGCTGCCCTACTGCCGAGAGAATGTGTGCCTGACCTACTGCGATGAGTTGTCCCTCTACGCTGTGGGCTCCCAGTCCCACGTCTCCTTCCTGGATCCGCGCCAGCGCCAGCAGAACATCCGGCCCCTGTGCTCTCGAGAAGGTGGCACAGGCGTGCGGTCTCTGAGCTTCTACCAGCACATCATCACTGTGGGCACCGGCCATGGCTCCCTGCTCTTCTATGACATCCGGGCCCAGAAGTTCCTGGAGGAGAGAGCCTCTGCCAGTCTGGACTCTACGCCGGGGCCCGCAGGGAGGAAGCTCAAGCTTGCCTGTGGCAGAGGCTGGCTCAACCAGGATGACGTCTGGGTGAACTACTTTGGTGGCATGGAAGAGTTCCCCAATGCGCTCTACACCCACTGCTACAACTGGCCCGAGATGAAGCTCTTTGTGGCTGGGGGGCCTCTCCCTTCAGGACTCCATGGGAACTACGCAGGCCTCTGGAGTTAAGGATGAACGCCTTGTTCTCAAAGTGCACAGGTTTACCTTTCAGTTCCGCCTAACTTTCCTTCTTCAGGCTGCATTTGTGCTTTTAACTTTGTGTGGCTTTTGTCTTCCAGGTGGAACCAGTCCAACTTACGTGTGCTTCGTGTATTAGGCAGATAAAGAGAGAGCGGGAGCAAGCCAGTGGGAGTGAGAGAGCACAAGTGGTCTTTTCGACAGTCAAAACTTTGGCTTTAAATCTCTCATTCACGTTTCCCAACAGCAGTATATTTTTGCCTTCTCATTCAAAGAGTTTTGGCTAAATCTTAATTGTATTCTGTCTTTCAGTGATTCACATACCCTCCTTCTTTAGGTTGATGCAGTCTTTACTACTATTCAGTACATTAGTTTTATCAATATTGCAATAGTGTTCAGATCTTTTGCACATGTTAGATGTGTGGTGTTTTGGGGAAATGTGTGCTACAAAGCATCTTTGGGGTTGTTTTGAGGAACATCATTTATAGCCTTACTCTAATTAGAAAATGCAGTTCAGGTTCTAGATTGCCACCATTCTAGTGTCGTACACACCATTCTGCAGTGTGATTCATTTGGATATTGGAAACTGAATGTCTATTGTTTGTATATTGTTGATGTGTAAAATGCTTTAAAAATATGTTCTCTTAGTTAGAAATCTTACAATGTTGTTCATACTATTAATCAACAATTTTGGTTATTCAGTAAAACTTTACTATCCTCAGGCCTTCCGTGTTCTTATTTAAAGCCGCTGTATTATGGCCTGCTTTTCTATGCTACAGATTTTCAGAACTAATCAATTCTGGTCTATGTATGTGGTAGGGCAATCAAGGAGGTATTTTTTGGGGTATATGGGGTAAACATCTCTTTAAATTCAGGTAGTTATTTACAGTGAAAAGCCAGTTGTGGCAGTTGTGCTCAGAGTAGGTGTTGCTGATTTTTTATTACTGTATACATGGATAATTCTGTATCCAGTATGTGATGTGTTGCAGAAAAATAAATAAAATGTGTTCATCATCTTAGCAATTAAGTGGCAGACTTAAGTTCTTAATACTTCAACATATGCTTTCTTTTTTCACTTTTCTTTCTGAGAACGTATTTATCAAAGTCAAAACTTTCTGAGACAGAAGCTGAATCTGAAGCATTAGCTATGCAGACATTACTTTGTACATCTCTTTTTGAAAATGAAACTTATGCTTACAAGTTAAAAGATTAAACAACATCTTGAATACGTTATGAAAATATACTTGGTGTAAGTTAGGATGGCTAGGTGTTTTTATAAAGTTGACTGAACAAACCATTTTTCATTTATACAAATATACAGGTACTTATAACTACTTACATATAAAATATATTTGTATATCTGTTTGTATATGTTATTTCCCATGTGAGGAGAAAGCATAGATGTATATCATTTTATATCTGCAGCTATTTCTTATATACTGAACCACATATATTAAGACTTACCACTTGATCTTTATTTGTGTTTTGTTTTATGTTAGTTTAAAATAATTTTAATACAAGCACATGATCAAAAAACCATACAGTATAAAAAGTATACAGTTAAAAGTAAACCTCAAATCCCAGGGTCTCTAGTTTCCAGCCCATAGATTAGCATCAGTATAATTTTTGTATATACACATTTAGATTTTCTCTATATATGTATAAGAACACATGTATGTGTGTATGGAATTTTTATATAAATAATAACATACTGTATGTATCTGTGCTTTTTTAATCACAAAATCTTAGAGATTTTCTCTTATACTTATCTACTTAATTTTATTGCATGCTGTTTTATTGTGTGATTGGAATACACTTGACTTATTCATTACACCTTTGATGATCATTTATGTTGGTTCCGGTTTTCTGTTACTGTAAACTATTCTGCAGTGATTACTTAAATGTATACATCTTTGTGTACAAGCGTAAATATATCTGCAGGATAATTCCTAGAAATGGAATTACTGATTCAATGACTAAGTTCATTTTATATTAATAGCCATTGCTAAATCACCTTCCAAAGAGTTCTCACCACCTTAACATCCTACAAGTAATGGATGCACACCTGCTTTACCACACCCCTGCCAACAGTGTGTCACCAAACTCTGTGCTCTTTGCCAATCTTACATCTACTTGATCTTGATCCTTTCTTTCTAAGCCACTGTGGCTGAGTTAATTGGATTTGTTGTCAGAGTACCAAGTAGGTTCTGAAACAAAGAACAAGAAAATGAGGGCAAGCAATAAAATTGCTGCCACACTGAAGGAAGAGAGTACCCACCATTCAGGCTAATGTACCTGGAGATGGATTACACACAGGTACCTTCCTTAGATACTTAGCTGGACCTAGTAGGTTTCCCTGGTCTATTGCACCCTGGTTTAAGTTATATCCAATGTATAAGATGTCACTGAACAAAATCCAAGAAAGGAGACCACAAAAGTCTGAACTTAGTGGGGTAGGTGTGGAGAGGGAGAAGGTTATTCAAAACAATGAGGGGAAATAAAAGGAACAAACAGTATTTCAAGTGAAGGATGAGGAAAAAAAAAATAGGTGGACTCTCAGGCTCTGACTTGAATATGAATGAATATTGACACCAAATAAAAATAAAGAAAATAGGCATAGATAGTATGGAGAGAGGATGATCAGTTTAACTTGGGACTTACTGAATTTGAGGTACCTCTGTGACATCAGGAGAACATACCCCATGAAGAATTGGCTGTGTATCCCAGGATGCAATTTATCACTTCTGGGAAGGTGAGTGCTATGAAACACTGGGAATCTTGTCCTTTCAGGGAAAAGTAGAACAGAAAAGCATATGAAGGATCTTTAAAACAATGAAAAGAGAGAAAGCCTGCTTCAGTGGCTCACGCCTGTAATCCTAGCATTTTGGGATGCTAAGGTAGGCAGATTGCTTGAGCCCAGGAGTTCTAGAACAGGATGGGGAAAATGGTGAAACCCCATCTCTACAGAAAATACAAAACTTGGCTGGGTGTAGTGGTACGGGCCTGTAGTTTCAGCTCCTTGGGAGGCTGAAGTGGGAGGATGACTTGAGCCCAGGAAGTTAAAGTTGCAGTGAGTAGAGATCATGCCACTGCACCCCATCCTGGATGACAGAGTGAGAACCTGTCTCAATAAATAAATAAATAAATAAATAAATAAATAAATAAGGAAAATTTTTTAAAAGCTGGGATGGGGAAGAAAATGGTAGAGAATGATAGAGGCTTATTCTACACAAATGTTGTGACCTTACCATGAGACGACAATATATCTTTTAATACTAAAATTATAATGATTTTGAGTCTCCACCTAAAAGCCATAAAGGGCAGCTTTTCACCCAGATAAGCCATAAAGGGCAGCTTTTCGCCTAGGACTCTTTAATACTGTCCACATTGGTCCACTAATTCGGCTTTTGAATTGCTCAACTGCTGGTTTCTTCTTGGAGAATGAAAAGTCAGACCTAGCTCACAAAGCAGGGCTTCATTTCTGGACCATTTATTCTCCTACTCTGAGACGTATCCAGTATTCCCAACACCCAACTGGCACCAGCATCCTTGACAGTCTCACAGCAGTGGAATATCACCTCATCAGCAGCTTCTGCTAGCCCCTGTTTAAGTTCTCACTTCAATACCACAAGTGTAGGCCTCTGCCAATTTTCCCAGTCTTGCAAAAAGCAAAGGAGGTGTCCAGAGGAGGATACTACTTTCCACAGTATTACAATAAAAAAGCACAAATGCAAATTATTAGAAGTGAGAGAGAAGAAATAATTATAAGCACAGATTTCTTTATTAGAGAAGTAAATGTAAAATCTGAGTGAAAAAAAATCATCAGAAAATACAAATAACTAAACTTCCCAATAAAAAATAAGGAACCAGATCAGACCATTAACTCTAGATATGTGAATATTAGTTTTTTAACGTCTATCTTTTTTATCCAAGAATATCACGCACATAAACAGATAATAAACACACAGAGTTGATCATTTTATAAGTAAATTATTTCACATTGTCAAGGAATATCTAAGTTTGAGGTGCTTCTGAGCATAAAGAGAAAATAATTTACTCTTCTTTATAGCAGGCCAGCAAAATATCAACAAATTTGAGTAAAATTGCCAAAAATAAAAGGGACTGATTTGACATAGATATATAGATCAATGCAACTTATCCTTTAAAACCACTGAAGGCAATCCATTAGTTCACCAAATCCGTTAGTTCACCAAATTAGCCCATCAAATTCATTAGTTCACAAAATACTACGGAAAAGTAAAGCTAGTTCCTTGAATTCAAGGAGTCTTCACTATTGAGAAATCTATTATTTCAATGTATTATAATAAATCAAATTAGAAGACACACATGCTCATATCACTAAGTTATAATAAATGATTTAATAAAACTCCTCTATTGTTTTGGTAAAATTCTTAGTAAACTATGTGGAAAAATTTTCTGCCTATGGTAAGTGTGTATATGTGTGCGTTTGTGTGTGTGTGTTTTGTGTTTCAAACTTCAACTGGAATCCTCAACATCAGAGAAACTCCTGTGAAGGTAAGAAACAAAACAAGGACTCCTAAAATCACAACCAGCATTTAATGTTGTTATAAATTTCCAGATCCAGCAATTAGAAAAGGTAGAAAATATTGGATATAAATAGTAGAAAACAGAAAACGGTTATATTTATTTGAAGATGATATATGATGGTAAAAATGATAAATTCTAGAAGAAGCAACTGAAAAAGGTTAGGAAAAATAAAATAGTAGTAAAATGTTCAGTTTTGAGATTAATACATTAAAAAATCAATGCTTTTCTATTTTCACTTCTTTACTCATTCAGCAAATGTTTATTGAATGCTTACCATATATCACACATTATTCTAGCTGCTAGATAGAAATGCTGCATAGAACAACACAAGCAAGCCATGTCCTCATAAGGCTTACAGTCCATTGAGGAGAGAGACAATAAACAGATAAACCAACAAGTGTATAGGTTGTAGGACGGTTATCAATGTTAATAAATAAATCAGTTGAAAGAGAATGGGGGTAGAAAATCAGGTGGGGATGAAATTTTAAATAAAGTGGTTAGTGAAAGTCTGTTTAATAAGTTGACATTTGAGCCGAGATCTGAAGGAAGTGACATAGTAAGTCATGCACCTACATCAGAAAAGAGTGTTCCAGGCGATCAGAAAGAAGTACAGAGGCTTGAGGTGGAACCATGCCTACCATGTTTCAGGAGCAGAAAGGAGACAAGTATGGCTGGAGTAAAATGAATAAAGAAAGGAGTAGGGTCAGAGAGATAATGGGTGACCACATCATATAGAACTCTGTAGACAATTATAAGAACCTTGGATTTTAATCTGAATGTGTTGAAAGTCCAATGAGGGTTTTTGAGAAGCAATTTATTGTTAAAATGAAATCTGGTCACTCTGTAAAGGAGAAAAGACAGAGAAGGAGGGGGATTCATTAGGAGGTTACTGCAATAATCCAGCGCAACGTTGACAGTGGCTATATGCAACACTAATCAGTTTAAAATGTCAGTGGATCTTGTAATTCAAAATGGCATACATCTCCTTCTTAAGATCTTATGGAAATGACAGTACAGAATAATTAAATTGAATAACTCCATTTCAGTGCTATAAATAAAAAAGGTGCCATAATCAGATCAGAAATTATGACAACATTCTAGAAAACCAGAAAGTAGATAGGATCTCTTTAACAGATAAAGCTGAGTAGATCTCATTCCTTTTTATGTTTTCATAGTATTCCATACTGTACATGAACCACATTTTATTTATTCGGTCCACCATTGATGGACAATAAAACTGATTCCACATCTTTGCTATTGTGAATAGTACTGCAATGAACATATGCATTCATGTGTCTTTATGATAGAATAACTTATATTTCTTTGGTTAAATACTCAATAGTGGAATTGCTAGATCTAAATAATGAGGACACATGGACAAAAAGAGGGGACCAACAGACACTGAGGTCTACTTGAAGGTGGAGGGTGAGAGAAGAAAGAGATTCAGAAAAAAAAAAA